GGTATACTGCTTGGGATCGAAATTATTGCTGGAGGATTTCATGAAAGTTTGGAGTGTATTTGACAATCTTCGATACGTAGTAGTTTATGAAATATGAGAAAACTAGGAATATATAAGTATATTTTTTTAAATATTATGATTTTCTCACAGTAATATCATTGTGATTTTCACCATTATATTACTGTGATGCATTTGCCGCAGATATTTTAATATTACTGTGATATCTTAGTAATATTCCAGCATTATTTCTGTTATATTCCCTGGTAATATTGCAATGAAAATATAATATTGCTGTGATATTTCTGCGATATTACGTGCTGTGTGGGGAAGAATAGGAAAGATATAAAAAATAGAAAAGATAAAAGGATAAAATAGATAAAGAAAAGAAAGAATAAACATGTTTATTAGTTATATCAGAAAATATATAATAATACATAATGACATGCATAAGTTAGGAGTTATAAGTTCCCTTATAGAAATATCATGCTAAGAATCATTGATAATTACTTATTATCCAGTATTTTTAATACTGAAAATAAGTAATTATCAATGATTCTTAGTATGATATTTCTATAAGGGTTGTATGAGAATTATAGATTTTTTTAAACAAAATAATTTGTTAACATTTCTTAAGTAAAAAACAAAACAAACTTAATAATTGTTTCTTATAAACCTATTTCTTAAAACGAATTTCATGATAATAAAAAAAAAAATATGCAATTGCACTTTATAACGCATACATAACATTTTCATTTTTTTCATAACGCATATAACATTTTCATTTTTAATTTACTTATTTTAAATTATATTTTGTTTTTTTAAAACAATTTAAACATGATAAAATAAGATAATGTTGTGTAATTTAGATCTACCCAATGAAAAATTTTTCATATATAATTATATAAAATTATATAAAATTATATATAATTATATATAATTATGTTTAATTATATATATAAATTCATATATAATTTTACATAATTACCCATATATTTACATGTAATTATACATATTGTTATACATAATTGTGTATAATTATATATAATTTTATATGATTATATATAATTATATATAATTATGTTTAATTATATATATAAATTCATATATAATTTTACATAATTACCCATATATTTACATGTAATTATACATATTGTTATACATAATTGTGTATAATTATATATAATTTTATATGATTATATATAATTATATATAATTATGTTTAATTATATATATAAATTCATATATAATTTTACATAATTACCCATATATTTACATGTAATTATACATATTGTTATACATAATTGTGTATAATTATATATAATTTTATATGATTATATATAATTATATATAATTATGTTTAATTATATATATAAATTCATATATAATTTTACATAATTACCCATATATTTACATGTAATTATACATATTGTTATACATAATTGTGTATAATTATATATAATTTTATATGATTATATATAATTATATATAATTATGTATAGACAAATTTCATACAAAATTTTGCATGACAAATTTTTCATCGGGTAACTGTGGCTTTTGCACCCAAATACTCTAAAATTTTCGTTTTTGCATAAGCATGTAATCTTATTGTTGTATAGGTTGAAGTTATAAACTTAATAATTTTAATTTCATGCAGTTCGTCACATTGATTGACGGTTTCAACTACTGGATGAGAAAGTATAAAGAAAGATTTAACCGATGGTTAAATTAAAAACGTCATTTAAAAATCCTGTTTCACATGAATTGCTTGCTATCCATTTTCGTAATGTTGATTCATCAGGTAATTTTAAATTGGAACGTACAAACATATACGCCTTTGGTGAATAAAAATGTAAAGTCTGTGCGAATTCCTTCATTTCATTTGAATAACGTCGATGGTATTTTGAAACATTATTATTATTGTTATATTCATTATGAAATAAATCTAAATCAAAATCCGAAAATCTTTTTAATAAGATCTCTTCTAAACTATCCGTACACGTTATCTTCTTTTTTTAAGTGTTTTAATAATTCAGAAACCTTTGAAAGTTGCATTTCCTTATGACGTAAGTGAGCATGAAGAAGCTTTATTTTCTTTCTTAAGGGGATGCTGAACGCGATCGCGAACTTTGAAAGCGTCGGTAATGTAGTACGCGTCGGTTTAGGACAGACGCTAGATAGCAGTATATGTTCGATGTCCCATCAATAATACAATTTCGACTCCACGCACGCAGCGCAGAGTTGCCAGATCTAAGATGCAGCGTTGTTCTCTCTCCGCTTACGCAGAGACGCTTTGTCGATCTGTGTGACGATCGTCGTTACATAGATCCTAACACTGATTTCTGCATGAGCCGTAGAGAAAGGATAATGTAA